TATATATATACAGTATATAGGAAATCATAACTTTCAGCTTGGCACAAAAAAAAAAAAAATTGATCTGCTCACATCTAACTGTTTTTTTATTTAAGCTAACTACGTAAAATTACCCACAAAGAGACATCTTTTTTTCCTGCTTATTAAAATGATACATTAAATCCAAATGAGAAAAGTTTTAACAAAAATAGTCTACTGTTTAACTGCCTGTGTTCAGTGACCAAAAACTGCATCTAYAGAAAAATAACATTAAATCTTTTTGTGAAGTTGTGGTCAAAAGCACTGATCTAATGACTGTCGCTCATACAGTAGTTTGACTTGTGAAAAGTGTTGCACACCTGTCTTTRACAAGAGTTGGAAGAAAACCTGTCTGAAGACAGCAGAGGGTTTTGGTGATCTGAGGCTGAATCTTATAATCATCAGTTGATTTATGAGAGATATTTCCTCTACAATCATTAAAAAAAACATTGTATTTTGTCCCAGTGCCTTACTTACCTTTTCTTTAATTTGTCCCTCSTCCACATTTTCCTTCTGTTTCCAATCATGCAAACTACAAACACAAAAATCGGAGCTRTATGTCCGCAATGAGTGTGTCTTTTCTTTATTCCTTTTGTTTTGGTTGCTGACTGTCTTCCAGAGGACACGAGGCCTACTTGAGGACGGGACCCCAGTATGACTTTGATCACTACAAGCAGCTGGTCCATGAGATAACGCAGGCCTTCAGCGGCATTTCCAAGGAAGTGCTGGAGATCAAGGAGAGACTCCGTGGCGAGTTTCAGCGACCGGAGCTCGCTGAGCACATCGAGAAGCTGCAGAGCAAAGAGAAGCAGAAACTTGAACTGGTTAGTGAACAYTAGTTTTACTAACATGTGTGCATTAAACTCTGTGTTTATGGGCTTTTAGAATTATGTTGTTTACGCTAGCTGCTCCAACACTTTTATTTTGAAGTAGTTTGCAAGGATTGTCCTGCTTGTGAAGATAACACATTTTAAAGATGTTTTGTGCTAAAAATTAAAATTAATTCAATATGTCAAATTTAGTTAAATTGTTTTATTCTGGTTAATCTCTGTAAAATGTATTTTTATTCATCATTRAACTCAAATTTTAAGTGTGTTTGTCATAACTAAAGTTAACCACATCAGGGTTCCTGCAGATCCTTAAAAGGTCTAAAAAGTCATTGAATTTATCAATCCAAAAATAAGACCTTAATTAGCCTTAAAATGTCTTAAATCAATCTTTCAGAAGTCTTAAAAATGTTAACACATTGTAAAWAGGTTGACTGTAATTCATCTCAAATAATAAAATAATTGGTAACGTATTTTTTTAAAAATATTCACATGCAGACATTCCCTTTTGACATCACTTCCTGTTAATTCACATGCAAATATCTCAACAACTGTCCATGGGAAATTTGTTTTGTAATATGTAAATAATGTTGTCTTTCCAAAAAAGCATTAACTTTTCTTACAAATGTTGATGTCACAAGCACTTCAAGGTTTCATCTACAGCAAATTGGGTCCTATAACTTCAAATTTTGGGTCGTTAAGCTGACTACTAAGAAAGTTTTGGCTATATTTAACGAAAAAGCAGTTAGAAATGGATTAATACAATTGGTCTATTAGCAAAATATTTGAATACTTCAACCAAAAATACTTTTATTCATGAGTTGCTGCTACAGTTTTTTTTTTGTCATTTGTGTTCATTATGAAATTGGTCTTAAATTTAATTTCACTTGGCATTAAAAAGTCTTTAAAAATCTTAAATTTAACTTGTTTTAAACTGTAGGAACCCTGCACATGGAGGCGGAGTTACTTTGCTGTTCTTTTCTAGTTGTTTCCAGCTTAATGTTTATTTTAACATTTCTGTGCCCCAATCTAATCTCCTCCTATTGATGCTTTAAAAACATCCAAAGACTTTCATAAACAAGCTTTTAGYGAAGTTAAGAGTTTTTACTGTTTATTCTCTATGCTGTTTTATTTGTACTCTTTGCATTTTGATATATATGTTTTACATTTTTTGGTTTGCTTTTATTGTGAAGCACGTAGTGATTATATATTTATGAAAGGTGCTATATACATAGCTGAAAAGCTATAGCTATAAAGTGCTTCAAAATAAAAGCAAGCAAAAAAAGAAAAAAAATACATACAGTATGTAAAGCTTTAAATTTAGACCTAGTTTAAAAAATAAACTTAAATGTTAGTTTTGATGTTTTTATTTTCCTGTTGTTTCCTCTGAACAGACAGCCAAGCTGCAGCTGGCCAGGCAGCAGGCCCAGGATCAGCCAGAGGATGAGGACTGTCGAGACCAGATCCAGGAGATCAGGCACAAGTAAGAGCAGCTCCCACCATCCCTTTGTGTCCCCCAGCAGGTCCTTGTTCACCCATTTATTCATCCCTCTGTCATCAAAGTTTCTGACTCACAAGAATCATTTGTTAAAGTCGTACTTTTATTTTCTCGACAACATAAACAGTCAGTAAATAAAAAAATCTGTTTTATCTCCTCGTTCAGGATCGTAAAGAACCAAGAGGATCTGAGTGAGATCATGCAGGACTTCAAGTTTGATTCAGAAGAGTGTGACTGACAGCTGATGGGTCGCCTCCCCCGCCCTGCTGCAGCCTCTCATCTTCAGCTGCTCTTATTGATCACCTCTGTCTCCACCCAGCTCCCTGCTGCAGTCTGACACCACCCCGTCCTCCAGGGGGACCCTCACGGTCCGGCTCTTTGTGTTCTTATGTGCGGTCGTGTGTTTGTGTTCCTGCATTGCTTCAACAAAATACAAGACTTTCTGTTTACGCTGTGATAAAATATGTAAAAAAAAGCACACAGTGATTTTTTTATTTACTTCATGATTTGTATTTTTTAAATAAAGAGACTTTATAAAACAAGGTTTTACTT